CAGCAAATGATTTTTGTTTTAACGTTTAGATATTGGATCCACTTTGATTTTAGTTTAGTACATGGTGAGATATATGGATGTAGACTCAAACTTCTGCATGTGAATATCCAATTTTTTTTAGCAGCATTTATTAAACAGGCTGTCTTTCCTCCAGTGTATGTTTTTGGGCCCTTTGTCAAATATCAAATAGCTGAATGTGCCTGGGGTTGTTTCTGCTTTCTTTATTGTGTTCCATTGATCCACATGCCTGTTTTTGTGCTAGAACTGTGTTGTTTTAGTCACAGTAGCTTTGTAGTATAACTTCAAATCTGGGACTGTGATGCCTCTTTCTTTGGTTTTGCTACTCGGGATTGCTTTTGCTATTCTGGGTCTCTTATGATTCCATATAAATTGTAAGATTATCTTCTCTAGGTCTGTAAGAAATGCTGTTGGTATATTGATTGGAATGATGTTAAATCTGCATGTCAGTTTTGGAAGTATAGCCATTTTGATTATATTTGTTCTGCCTATTCAGGAGTAGGGGATATTATTCCATTTTCTGATGTCCTGCTTGAGTTCCTTTTTCAGAGTGATGTATTTTTCATTTTAGAGGTCTTCTTCTTCTTTGGTTAGGTTAATTCCTAAGTATTTAATTTTTCTTGATGCTAATTTGAATGGTTTTGTTTTCCTAATTTCTTTCTCAGTGAGTTCATTATTAGTATACAGAAATGGTATTGATTTATTATACATGATAATATTATACATACAGAAATGGTATTATACATTATACATATTATTATACATACAGAAATGGTATTGATTTTTGTGTGTTGATTTTGTTTCCTGGTAATTACTAAATTTGTTTATTAAGGGCTGGAGATATAGCTCAGGGGCACAAGCGCCTGCCTAGCAAGTGCAAGGTCTTGAGTTTGATTCCCAGTACCAAAAAATAAATAAATAAATTTGTTTATTAACCCTAGGAATCTTTTGGTGCAGTTTCTTGGGTCTTGTAAGTAGAGGAACATGTCATCTGCAAATAATGATACTTGGACTTCATCCTTTTTATACAGATCCCTTTTATTTCTTTTTCTTGCCTGATCACTGTGGCTGATATTTTGAGGACTGTGTTGAGTGGGACTAGTGATGGTGGACATTCTTGCCTGGTTCTGATTTTAGAGGGAAAGCTTTCAGTTTTTCCCCATTTGATATGATGTTGATTGTTGGTTTGTCATAAATGGCTTTTATCAGATCTGAAATAAATTCCTTTTATACCTATTTTCTTCAGTTTTTTTTTTTTTTATCATGAATTGATGTTGAATTTTGTCAAAGACCTTCTCTGCATCTACTGAGATGATCATGTGATTTTTTTGTCCTTGTTTCTGTTTATGTGATGAAGT